GGGTTATGCAACTTGGTCAAAACTATCCGAAGCAAACTTGCTCCACCGCCCAACACCGCTCCCTTTGCACACAGAAAGAAAAGCAGGTCGAAATCGGTTTCTATTTGCTGATAAAATAAATATTTACAGATTTAAGATATTTTGAGTAGAGGATTTGAAACCCATTATACCTTTTCTTAAGTTTTAAAAATTCAGTAGTTGTGAAACATCTGAATTAATTTTTTTTTGTGAGTACATAGCATATGTACTTATATGGCAAAAGGGATCCGAGTTCGAATCCCACTGCTGCCATATACAATTTTTTTTTATTTTGTTTAGTACTTTAATGTTTTTTTTTTTAATTACATTTTTTATTATAATTTCAATGTTATGATCAGTTAAAAAAGGATCCTGGCTCGAATTCCACTGCTGTCATTTAAATTTTTTTTATTTTGTTGAATAATTTTTTGTTTTTTTATCTTATTGTTTATTGTTATTTCAAAATTAATAGTATTTAAATTTTGAAACAAATCATTCATTCGTCATTTTTATCAATAAGGATCGACATTTCTCTCTGTGCAGGCGGCGGCGCTTCTTTTTCGGCTTTCAAATCGAAATCCGAATATTTGTTGTTAAGGAAAACAACGCCGAAATCATTAACAGTTAACAGTCTTGGCGCGAAAGAGAGGGAAATGCGGCAGAAAGGCCGAAAACCACCGATACCAAAACCGAAACCAGTTTAGGACAACAAACCAAAACGCATGCGTCTTTCTGGAATTGGGTCAGCAAGTAGGGGCCGAAAAATACCAAAGCCAAACTTCGGCGATCAAAGAGACCATTGCAGGTGTATTATACACAGCTGTAGGACAGGTTGAATGAAAGTCAATCCGCTTAGGCAGGCCCACATCCAATTTCCGAAAAGCCAATTAAGCCACCAGCAAGTGCACATTAAATATAAATAATATTCGGACTGATAGAGAATATTATTCGGAGCGGAATTTCGTTTTTGGACTTCTTCTTTTTGGAGGGCCGGCCACTCGGACCTTGGGTCAGTGAAAGTGTTGTGCAGAAATACAGAAATAAAGATACAGCCACAAAGATTTACGATATGACCATCTCGTTCATGCGGCAGATGTATCTTTTAGCATATCTGCTACTTTTTTGTTGACTTTCTCACCAGAGGTTAACGCAGAGAAATATGACTGATTGTGAAATATAATTAAAAGGAATGCGGGTTGAGAGATTTTAATTGAGAAATACTTGTAAATATTTCTGGTGATGTTAACCTATTTATTATCTTAAAAAAAGATATGAGGTTTTTTGGTATTCTAACTGAAGAAGTTATGAAAATAATGATGATCTACAATAAAAGACACTGGTTATCTTTAGGTTAACACTTCCCCTTCCATGTTTAAATTTAAGAGCCACCTTTAATAAATTAAAACCAAATAACAGCTAACTTTATCGAGTATTGACTTCGTGCCCAAAATTTCTAAAAAATTTCAATGAAAACAGGTTGAGATTCGGTTTCGGTTTCACTTTCACGCGACCGAACCCTCGCATTCAAATTAAGCAGAGGCATATAAGAAAGAAGCGAAGAATCGACAGAAATCAATCCAAAATCTCCCGTTAAATCGACTAACTGTTCACCAGACTCTCTAATCTAATTGAAAAATCGCCACCTTGAGATGCGAGATTCCGAGTATTCGAGTATCAACCCATCGAATTCACACGCTGGCGTTAAAACTCTTCTCTTTTTATTTCACGCATTTGCAACGAAAGTGAAAAGTGTATAAATACTCAAAAACTCTTAGGCGGAAGAGGAGGAAAATAAGAAAATGATTTGGAAACAAATTCGGGGCTAAGATAACGAATGCTTAAAGCTGGCCAATCGGCTTCTTGCCAAATTCGTGTGGCGCATATAGAAAAAGACTTTTTTTTTTCGTCTCATTTGGCCGGTTTCTTTTGGCCAAAACAATGGAGAGCTCAACGGCAGCTCTTGGCAAATGAAATGAAGAAGAAAGTCAAAGAAACCGTTAAAAGTGAATTTCTTCTACGACTGCTATTGCCGACTATTATTAGTTGGCGTTTTTTTATTTTTTTTCGGTTTTCAGTTTTTGGTTTTTGGCTTTGGCTGCGACGTGCGCTTTCTATTTGCGTTTTGTTTATTGTTTACCTATGATAGATGAACGTATCAGTTTCCAGGTGCTTTTTTTGTGGATGTGAGCTGGGCATACAACCAATTTGGCGTTGAATGAATTTTTATTCGGCTCCGAAATGAAACAACAAAAAGGTCTTAAACAACTAAAATGCATAAATAACTCGATGACGACAACTGCATACACAATTTCTTGAACTTTTTCCAATATGATTGGGAGCTGTATTTATGGTGACAAAGTGCATTTATTTACATTTTTGGAATCGAATTTGATTAATATAAAAAATATACTTCAAAGTAAGTACATATATAATTATTTTAGTCATAGATTAACAAAAGATCAGATTGATATGTGCTGGTCAATTTGATATTTTTTAAGGATCATGTTATTCGTATCATTTTGACATGAATAAAGATTATGTTTATACTTGTATAAAAAATATTAAATTTGGTATTTAATATGCTACGATAAAATATCATGTTTCTCTTTATTGATATGAAATAAGGTAGAATTTTCCTATTTCATATCGTATTTTTCTCTGTGTATATATTTAAAAAAATCCCTTTTATTTAAATTTTTTATAGATTTTTTCCAGAGGAATAACATTTAGATCTAAATATAAATCTAAGAAAAAGGTGTTATAAAATGTTGTTTTCGCATTTCTCGGGAGGCAATAGCTAATGTCTAGCCTTTCGGATCAAGGTCTGTTTTACGAGTGAACAAAAGTGTCAAAAGTGTGCATTAAAGTGAATTAACGAGCACTTAACCTTTTTCATATATAGCCCAAAACTGACCAAACGGCGCCATATAAATACAAATAAATACATTTAAGCCAAGGCTGTCCGCCAAAATAACCAATGCAGTTTATGCATTCAGCCTACTGCATTCGCAATGCTAAAGCAATTAAATCACCAACCACCCCCCGAACTAAATGGGCTGGCTTAAATGGCGTGCCATTAAACAATAAACTAAATAGCAAATGTGAGAAACCAATGCACTAATTGTGGCCTATACATTCATGCATGCCTCCTTGACTAGTAAGTAAGTAAGTAAGCAATTAAGCCGAAGGCGAGTGCTTAACTAGCCAATTGAATTATAAGACAATTGCCGCGAAGTTCCTTCTGGGTTTTTCCTCTAGTCAAGCAAGACAACAAAGGCTCCCAGAACATAACCTAGAGATATTTTCCACCATAAATATGGCATAGCATGGACAAATAACTCCATAAAATATAATGAGCTCGGTTATTTACGACCCTTTCGATGCACTCAGTGCGTCATTCATGGGATTTTAATTTTAAATAGCAGATGGGCAGAGAGTTATTTGAATTCCAATCGGTTTATTTAATACAGTGGGCTCTTTATGGTACGAATAATTATATATAAATATTTATGATCTATTATTATGATCTATATTATGGGGAAAAGATAGTCCAGAAAAGCCCTAAATTTAATTAAAGGTTTTTATTATTTTGCAATATTTATTATATTTAAGATAAAGTATACCTTTCTATTTTGTAATTTGTTATTTCAGTAAATATAATTAAAAACAACATTTATTTTAGTTTAAAAATATTTGTTTACCCTTTCTTGCGTATTTACTGTATTAGTAATAGGCAGTAAAACAAATGAAATAGCAAAATGCTGATAGTGCTTCACCGGCTGATAAGAAAACATCAATCCGCTTGTTTGACAAAATACAGAACCGATCCAAAATCCACTTGAAATATTACGTATACGTATGCGCAGGTCACAGTTTGGCAGGCCAAATAGAGCACAGTTTTGGGGGCACTGGCCCCTTAAACCGAATCAGCTGTTTATTGGCGCTGCAAATAGCGCGAAAATCAACAAACGCGGGCGATAAATATTGATAAATACGAGCAATAAACCAGAGCCAAATATGCAACTAGCGAAATTGCATAACTCAAAAAAAGAAGGAAAAATATAGTGGAAAAACAAAAGGAAGAAAAACGCTACAGACTAGCGACTTGTCAACGATATAAAAATAATGAATAATGACAAACTACAGACAGACCAGAAAGAGACATAATTATCGGGGCCAGAAAGACAGAAAGCCAGAAAGAGAGGCAGATGAAAAACTTCACCTTGCAAAAATGCGGGGAAAAACACATGAAAAACGGAGAGAAACAGAGGCGTTCGGCAAAATGGTAAAATGGTAAAAAAGCCAAGGCACAATAATAAATAAATGCGCCAGCTTCCGCCAACAACAACACACTGCAACACTGCAAATGCAACTGCAACTGTGGGCGCAACAAGTTGTTTTTTTCACGCTACTTGCACAAAAGCAATGGCCAACAGCCAACAACCAGCAACCAATTTCACTTTCATTTTCTTTTTGGCTTTGCAGCGAAGAAAAGAAAAGCGGACAGCAAAAGCCAAAGTCACGCAGACGCATTAGCGGCCAACAGTTTGGTTTTGCTGCAAGCGCAGCCAATGCACTCTGCACTGGAAAAAAATCAGCAAATCGATATTAAATCGAGATTCTTTTTTTTATTTTATTTAATGTGAATGCACACTTTAATTAAGATATTTCTTAAAATGTTTTAATTTTTATTACAAAGTGTTTTATAAATGTATAGATCTCAACTTCAAGACACACAACAAATTGAACTACTTTTTAAATTGATTTAAGTATTAAAAAAATATTTTATATTAAGAAATTAAAAGTTAAAAAATGTTTGTTTTGTAAATTTTAAAAACCAGTAATTAAAAAAATTGCACTTGTATTTATTAAATATAATTTAATTGAAAGTGTTTTAAGTGACTTTTTTTAATCCCTATATTTTTATAATTGTAAGTTATAACATTTTTTCCGGTGCAGACTTGCTGCGCCAATGAACTCACCAGCAGATCGGGATAATCCTTGCCCATGCTGAAGCTTAATCCGTGGAAGAGTCGCCTGGCCTGGTGTTGAACTTTGGGCGGGCTGAATCCTGTCGATGGGGATGGCCCAGTCAGTCCGGGTCTTGATCCGAATAGCTGATACAGCAACTTGTGCGTCTGCTGGCGACGAGAACCGCACACGACGCGACCGGAAGTGCTCAAGCAGGCCATTTTAGTGGGTTTTTGTTGGTTAAAGAGATTGGTTTATTTTGATGGGTTTTTTTTGTGGGGGCAGAGAAGGACTTGGAGCTTCTTGATCGAGACACAGGCACACAGAATTCAACAGGTGAACAGCATTATAATGGGCTTTTTGTATATATTTTGTTTATCGGCAGGATCGCAGGATTTGAAAAGCGCGCGATTTCGGGATTTCGGAATTTGAACTGGCGATTTTCGAGGCGACGGCGAAGCGCGGTTTGCTTGCGTTTGGCTTCAGCAGCTCCAACGAAGTGTTTTCGCTTTTTGTGGATTTTTGAATCGATGCGCGTGCGCGCCGTCAGGTGTGGTGAATAGCGGCGAGTGCCCACTGTGGTGAGTACGATCTGGCACGAAGTGCGGTTCGGCTTGAACTTGAACGGGGATTTCGGTGGTTGGACCACGCGGTTTTGCAGTCACTGGAGGCGTCTTGGAGGTCGGGGGCTATATAGATGACCCCTGTGTTTACCTGTGGGTCGCTCTATTTTCGGGGGATTATATCCGGAATCCGACTCCTCTCTCAAAGGTCATTTGGCCTGGCAGCCACTACCGTCCAACCCCCGCCAGAGTCCTCATGTTCAGCAACTTCTTGGACACTCAATAGAACCACTTTTAGCACGTTTTCCTTCCCAGGAAATAGTTTTTATTTAACTCGCACGCAATTTGCACCTTTTCACTACTTTATTTTGACGTAACAGTGCAGAACAGCTGCTGCGAACAGCTGTTTAGGGTTGCAACGTGCGCCGGTGACGCAAAGGCGTAACGCTAGGGATGGGTAACGTAAGGTCGTTAAGGCTGTTGCATTTAAAATATTTATTATTAATAATAAGAAATAATTATTTAATTAATTATTTAACTATATTTATTTAAATAAAGCTATCCTTGCTTTAAAAATTACTTTATTTTTATTGTCAATTCATACATAAACATTCTACGATTGAAATTTTTTATTATTATTATTGAACTGATTTAATTTTTTAATATTAATATATAATATATTAATATTTTTAAATGTTTAATTTATAGACACGAAGACACAATACTATCGGCCTTTTCTTACGTTATTCCTTTGCTTACACGTAAGTATATCGATAGCCCAGCTGTTTGCTAGTGCGCATCTCCAATCACGTTTACGTAAATCCAAAAATATTAGGAGCTTCAAAATGTCTAGGAATTTGTTTTTATCAATTACAAACTTCATTAGGAACGTGGAGCGCCTGTTCCTGCCACATGGAGGTCATCCGCCAGGTAAGAAGTACTATCCTGAGATGAAGTTACCATATCTAATCATATTATTTAAACAGCGCTGGCTTTGGCCGGTTTCCAGCATGAGCACAGCCAGAAATCCTCCCAGGAATTCAGTTTGAAGGAGCTAATTGGCGATGGAATGCTGTGGGCTGTCCCCAAACACAGGAGATCTGTGGAGAAACGCCTGAAGCGGAAGTTCGGATATCCGGAATACAATTGGAAGCCTCTGAAGGAGAAGAGAAACATCCGATCCTGTGTGCAATGTGGTCATGACCATGAAATGGGGGTTCTATGTCGTAAGTAGCCCTTTAAACCGTTTAGCTATATATTCCTCATCACCATTCCTTTTCCAGCTTTCTGCTACCAAAAAGTCCTGAAGGAAACCGAGCTCATGCAGTCCAAAATCCAGGAAACATTGGGCCTAAATCCCGTGGACAAGGAGGTCATTGTTCTCTATGAGGGCGAAAAGGCAGAGCAGTCCTCGGATGAGCTGAAAAACAAGCGCATTGTGGAGATGAAGAAGCCCCGGCCCATGTGGTTCACCAAGAATCTGCTCCAGAAATCCACGCAGCAACTGTCCGAAACCAAGGAGGTCAAGCCCTCCGATTTGGCCTAGCTGTATTAAGCATCCATTGTGCATTAAATCACCAATTTTGTTATCAATTTGAAGCTAGTTTATTGTCGGTGAACGCTAAGGATCTTGCCTGCTTCAGGAACCCGTTGTTAAAGTCCTGCGCACTCATGGGTTTCCTACCTTCCACACGTAATTGCAGCACTTCCAGCTGACTTTCCTGAGCACATCCTATCAGCAGGGATCTCCTCTTCCTTTGGAAGCTAAACGTACCAGGTTCTTGGCCTATGAGTGCCTTTTCTGGTAACCGTAAATCCAACAGCTGCACTTGTTTATCCATAAAACTGGTGGTTAGATTTTTATAGCCATACAAAGCTCTGTGACGAGTGTATATTTCAAAGGCACTGAGCTCTGACCAGCTGATCTCTGTGATTTTGTTGGTGATCTTGGGAGCTAGGGGAATATAGGGTTTTTAATAGGTTCTATAAATGTTTTAAATATGTTTTACCATAGCTGGCACTTGTATTATCTTGGGGCTTGGCATTCCTTAGTCTTTCTGATAGGTTGTTGACCGTATCCACTAGTAAATCGGCTCCTAACAAAGCCAAAGAGGCATGCAATTCCGGCATGAAGACATCGGGTTTTATGGCCACCTCCCGCTGAGCTAGAATCTAAAATACAATCTTTAAATATCCCTTTATATATAGGTAAAATACCCATAAACTTACATCGCCTATATCAAACCGATGTGGTTCGATTTTCATGATGGAAACCCCAGTGTGGGAATCTCCCTTCATAATAGCGTATATAATGGGAGCAGCTCCTCGCCATTTGGGCAGCAGACTAGCGTGAACATTGATCATTCCATGGGGGAATCCATTGATGATATTAGCAGGAATCAGGTGACCAAACGAAACCACTACGCCCAGATCGAATTTGGAGCATTCATCGGGTTCTATGGGCCACTTTTGAAGGGGAATTTTCTCCTTTTCCGCATAGCTCCTTACACAGTTGGCGGGACTCTTGAAGGACGTAACCACTCCCAAGCGATCACTAGGGATATAATAGATACATTAACTTAATAAAATATTATGTTTTTATCACATTTACCTGCAATTCCTGTGTAGCGCCTGCAAACTTGGCAAAGAAAAGTTGTCGGTGCCAAAGAACAGAATTTTGGGTGGGTGGTACGTTGCATTGCAGCGCTTTATAATGGGTACTACATTCTGCCACACTTTTCTCTTATATTTGTAGAAATTATTAACTAAACTCTTTCCGCAAAACATTGGAAAATGTGTTGGATAATAAGCCGCGTAAACAAGAACAGCTGTTCGCCAAGGGATCTGGTCACTCTAAAAACGTAACGAAAATACTGAAGTACAGTAAGCACTTGGCTTCAAGGAAACTATCGTTGAAAGTTTGTATATCTTTATCCCTAGATATATCCTCCATTTTTTTGTTGTACAAATTCTTCATAATCCCTTTAGTCGGCAGTCTACTATTACAAAAACATTTAAGAAAATATAACTACATACTTAAAATAAAACTTCTTTGATATTTCTTTCGAAAAATATATTCGGCTTTCTTTCTAACGATAAATTTATTCTATATCATTTATCATATCACTAAATTTGGGAGGTATAACTACTGTAACAAAAATACCATCCCCTTTACAAGAGCTTAAAACTATCGGCATTATTTCTAGTATTTTTTGAAGTTCCTCGCACGGTCCCACTAATAAGAACGCAACAAAAGGAAAATCCTACGAAATTTCCAAGAAAACCCAGATTTTCCAGTCCGATCGGGCGAATATTTTGATGCCAACTACTTGAAAACACCAAGGAACCCGCAATGGAGTCATCCACTGCTAAGATCACGCCCCTGACCACATCCACGTCCACTTCCGGAGGCACCAGCTCCGCCTCCAGTGACAAAGTGAACTACGCACTGCAAGTGGCGCTGCAGACGATCAAGGAGCGGTGCATCCAGCTGCAGCGCCGCGTGGCGAGCTTGGAGGAGGAGAACCAGAGGCTTAGGTCAGAAGGGGCTCCTTCTGCATCGGTTAACGGAATCGGGGTCACCGGAGATGTGCTCTCCCTTAAAACACAAGTATCCGAACTGCAGCGACAAAAGGAGCAGCTGGAGGAGCACATAAGCATGGTGTCCAACGAGAACCGACGCCTCTGGTCGCGTCTCTCGCAGATTTCGAAGGACCAGCATCTCAACCAGGTGCCCAGCTCCCCGCAGAACCAGCAGAACCTGGTGCGCTCCAAGACCTTCACACAGCACTCGCCCAATCCTCACCTGCGCCAGAAGCTGCTCTCCGACGGCCTCAAAGATCTCAGCCTGGAGGAGATAGCCCTGGATGATTTCGGTGCGAGCAGCGAGGAGCTGGGCTATCCCTACAACCTGCAAAAGGTGGAGGAAGCGACTGCCAGCGAGCCAGATGCCAATGTGGATGCCAAAAGATGCATGGATGGACTGCAGGAGATGCGGCGCGAGGCCATGAAGCAGCAGCAGGAGCTCAGTTCGGCTCTGACTTTGCTAGAAAGTCGCATAGGTATAATAAAATCTACCTATTACCTGTTATAAAACCCCTTTTAAAACACTCTGCCCCCTAACAGCTCTGAAACCCTGTCCGGAATGCGCCCAGAAAACCGCCAAGAAGCCAGAGATGGCCGACAAAAGTCTGGAAACGGACGACAGCCTGACCAGCGAACTGAAAGCCTATGAGGGCCAGCACAATGGACAACACAACGGAACGCCGCCCAGCCAGAGGATTAATATCATACAAGAGAAAATCAAGGCCGATGCCGCGGATGCCATGGAAAAGACCTGTCCCATGTGCGGCAAACAGTACTCCAGCCAGGTGTCCTTCAATGCGTTCCGCGAGCACGTGGAGATGCACTTCATCGACGATGCCCTCGACTTGGAGACGGATAGCAGCATGGAGCGACAGTTCGAGTTCGTCTCGCATGCGGTGGGCGACTTCTGACCCAGCAGGCGCATATACTTCGCCACCGAGCTCTGACCTAGGGTGAAAAGCAAGGATTAACAGGCAGTTTGACTGCAGAGACCCACAAACCGCGTGCTTGTATTGACTAGGCCCTTAAGCGTACATATATCAAAATTGAATTACATTCTACTTTTAACCTTAATTATATTTCTACGAAGAGTGTGCATGAATACTTAGTTGTTAGTGACAGAATACGAAATACAACTTAAATGTAAAGCCTGAACGAAAATGTTAAGCCGCTTTCTTCGCTCGATGGGAAAGTGAAACCGTTAATGTTAAAAATATTATTATATTATCAATGCCGACAAATGATCATTGTTCGGTCTAATTGGCCGCTCTTGTGTGAGTCACCCACTTTAAGGGAATTATGGAACGTTCGACAAAGAAGTTATGGTCAAAAACCAATTTGCTGTAACTGGTCAGAGGATTTCCCTGCTCTTTTGGATATGACGTAGTCTAAGAAACCCGTCGGGCAACTTCTGCCTAATCTGGCTGATCCAGTGATTCAATTCGAAAAATTTGCCAAATTTTTGGCCACACGACTTGCCATTGATAACAATTCAAATGCAAATGATCACAGCTACTTTCTTTTAATGCATTTGGAAGGGGTCGCAGCAGGGACTAATCTTATTAAGAAATTTATTCATTTGACTTATGCAAAGTGCTTTGATTAATTAAATATTTTTAACACTTTGACACGTGTTAACACCCGCAGATCTGATTATTGATGGATGCTTTAATACGAAAATTCGATTGCAAAATACAAATTTTTATGGATTTAAATAAAACATGTTTTTATTAAAATTTTACTTTTAATGTACCTTATTTAATAACTAAGAAAACTATCTTTTGGGTAATTATATTTTCTTTAAGTTATATAACTGTCCGTATTATAGAACTATTAACACACCCATTCACCAATTAAAACCGAAAGAACTTGTAAGAGTTCAACCAACTTTGGCAAGATCTTTTCCGCATTTCCATCAATTATCACACGGTTTTCCGTAGCCCCTACATATGGTCTATATTGCACAACTCAGATCCATCATTTATCATTTCGAAAACCAACAGGGCAATTAGACTGGCACTTGTTGCTACCGTTTGCCGCTAATCACGCCCCACTTAGGTTTCGAATTCAGATCCGATCCGATCCGATTCCATTCCAACTCCCCAGACGTGGGCATCGCATAGAGCCCACTAAACTATAAAAGATATCGGGGTATTTGTGAGCCATTTCAGTTGTTCGAAGTTCGCGGTCGCAGCAGCACCATAAAAGCTAACATATCTCCATATATCTCGGATAATTATGTAAAATCGAATACGACGGGAGCTAAAATACAAAAGACACACGCGTTAGTTGGAATCAATTAGTATAATTATAATATCGTAATCAGAACAATCACATCTGCGATCTGCGATCGGCAACAATGCAGCCGAATGCATTTCACAAGCTTTTACTACTGCTACCGCTAGCCTATCAACATACATCAAATGGTAATTCCGATCCCAGAACTTACTATGAATATATGGGAACTACGAGTAGTGAAATAAAGTGCAACAACAAGCCATCAATGGCGGGAAATAAAAAAATATTAAGTTTTTTTTATATATCTAAAATGGTTTAATAAAAAATCATATTGAATGGCCAATTTTTTTTGTTAATAACCTCGTTGTTTCGTAAAAATATTAACTTTCAAAGGAAAAAGAGACTAAGTGATTATATGAGACATGAGAAAAACCATATATTTAAACTGAACCACAAAAACGTCGTTTAGTGAGCACTCCATTTATTTTTGTAAACTAGTGTAATTAATCATTCTCCATACCTTGTTTGGGTTCCAGAAATGAGAGAGTCGGCTAATTCCGAATGAGTTGAATGAAAACAGAAGTGAATTTATTCACGGTCTTGGCTAATAGGATTACCAGATGCTAGGTGGCTGAAAGAAAGTGAAAACGACTCAGATTTTGTATTTTCTTCAATTTGAAACTTGCAGATCACAAAGATGAAGCACATTGGAATTACGAGACGAACGGTCAAAATTGGGGAGGAATTTGTTCTTCAGGAGAAAGGCAATCGCCCATTTCTTTGAACGTTCAAAAAGTAAGTAATAAATATAACAAATCACAAGCTAGGATTGTGGTATAATGTTTACTTTTATATGTTTTTTGTAAAAGTTTTTCGTTTATAATGATTTAAGCGATCGGCTTTAAATTCCAGAACAACAAACCTGCTTAACAAACGATCTTGTTCTTGTAAATTAAAAAGAAAACAATTAAATTAAAAATTTGTATCACCAAATGTGTTTTAATTATGCGATCCAAATATGCGGCCCTATTTTATATGCGCATCTATTAAAATATTTGTTGTTGCTTAACAAATTCGGCTAAGAATTAGTCAACATACCTAGACAAATTCTTTATTAAACATTTCCATATCGTCTGGTAGGAATAATACGGTAATCTTCCATAAGAAATACTTTAAATATCTGGAACTTGTAGTTACAGTAGTCTGGAATTTACAACCAGGAAATTTAATAACTTGCTAATAAAATGCCCTATTACTCACCTTATTTGAGATCATGTTTATATAATTGTAATACCCAAAATTGACACATGTAACCAACGAAAGCTTCAGCAAATTGACAATAAAACTCTTTTAACGCCACTTACAAGAGGTAATGATTGCGGAAAAGGGGTAACAAGGCCAATTTATTTCAATAAATAATAGATTGTTATGCTTTCTGCCAGTCGCTTATCGTCCCATTACCTCGGATCGTTTTCGGAAACTATGACGTAAAATTAAGGGGGCCGCTCGCCCTGGAAAATAATGGACATACAGGTGGGTGATGGCAAATGCTTTATAACGAATAGCTAATTATAATTATTTGGCACAGCTCACATGGAGATTCCCGAAACGGCCAACGGCAATAAGCCCTTCATAACCGGTGGCCTGTTGAAAAGTCGATTTGTGGCCGAGGGTCTTCACTTTCATTGGGGATCCCCCAGTTCCCGCGGATCCGAGCATTCCATCAACAAGCAGCGATTCGACGTGGAAATGCATATTGTCCATCGAAACGCCAAATACAAAGATATCGATGAGGCGAAAGACAAGAAAGATGGATTGGCTGTCATCGGTGTGATGCTGAAAATTGTCAAGGTAATTAAGTTGTATTTAAATTGATTAAAGGTTAATGTACGGAAAAGTCATGTGTATTGCTCTTTTATAATCTCACCTGACGTGATAAAGCGCTCGAGTTCGGCTGAAATGAAAATCAACACCATAAAACTAAATTTGCCGAAGAAAAAAAAACGTGTCATTACGTCAAAGTTAAGATGATGGTTATTTTCTTCTATGAATCGAACTTTTTTTTTTAAAGAACCAACGTTAAATGTAAAGATGAATCAAATTTAGATACGTAAAATTTAGTTACGTCGAAGCTAAGATGATTGTTATTTTGTTTTTTCTATGAATCAATATTTAAAAAAAAAAAAATAAAAACAAAATTAAGTTTAAAGATGAATCAAATTCAGTTACATAAAATTAAATTACGTCGAAGTTAAGATGATTGTTGTTTTGTTTTTTCTATGACGAACTAAATGTTTAAAGATGAATCAAATTCAGTTACATGAAATTTATTATATTAAATATTTTTAACATTTCTTTTGCAGAATCCCAATCGCATATTTCCTGGCCTTAACAAAGTAATGAGTGCATTGCCGAGAGTTACGAAGTATAAAGCGAAAACGACTATTCCGGGAGGCTTGAGTTTGGGTCAGATGCTTGGCAATCTGAATCCCCGGGACTTTTTCACCTACCGGGGATCCCTAACCACGCCCCTTTGCGAGCAGGTTGTCACTTGGATGGTGTTCTCCCAAGTCCTGCCCGTATCCTATTCATCGGTATCGAAGTTCTGGAAACTGCGAGACTCCGAGGGCCACAGACTTATCAACAATTTCCGGGACATCCAACCCCGAAATGGACGACCTGTGTTCTATAGAGTGGGCAAAGATCTGAGTGGTGCCTACCTGGGAAAGTGATGGTATTAAAGTTGTAGACCTAGGTTCTGTATTTATTTTAGTCATTTAAGGCAAATAAAATATTTTGTATGAAACAGTTCCGATTTGAATTTATTCGACGTATATACATTTATATTTAAATTATTTATTTATATACACATTCGCAACAGATTAATTATATAAAATCGAAAATGACGCGGGATAAGATTCAAAGAAACACGCGTTAGGTGGAATCAATTATAATTCATAACAATCACATCTGAGTTCAGAAACAATGCAAGCAAATGTTTTTCACAAGCTTTTACTTTGGCTTCCGTTCGCTTATCACCATACATCAAATGGTAATTTAAGCAACATAACTTTATATCGGCTCTATATCGGGTGAAAAAATTGCACTAACTAATCTTCAATGATTGGAAACTAAAAAAAGTTAGTTTAGTCACGGTAATTATGCATTTTAAATCCATTTTTCGGTTGGTTGTTGAAATCAGATCTGCGTTAAAATAAGTCTTAATATATATTTGGTTTATTATTACAGTTCAAGCCATGCAACGGATAATAGTAATTTATTTAATTTTTCCTATTGTCTTGGGTTAGTAAATAGATCCTTACCTTTAATGGATCCCAGAAATGGGAATACGAGTTGCTAGGTGGTTAAACTCGGTATTTTTCTCCATTTGAAACCTGTAGGTGCCGAGTGGAACTACCTGTTGAATGGAATGGATTGGCCGGACCTCTGCGCCACAGGTGATCAGCAATCACCCATTGCGTTAGATACTCAAGACGTAAGCTATAAGTAAAAATATTATAAATAAATAAGAGTGCTTAAAAAATAGAGTAATACCACAATTCGCATTATAAGGAAGGAACGAAGATAGTATATTTATTTAACTTCGTAATGATTTCAAACAGTCGCGCATCTTGATTACACCTCGGATTTATTTTGGAGACTATGATGTTCCTTTGAAGGGGCCAATTTTTATTAAAAATAATGGACATTCAAGTAAGTCGGCGTTAAGTAAAGACAAATAATTTATTAATTCATTTATTTTCAGTTCAAATGGACATACCGGAAACGATTAATGGAATGCAACCCTTTATTAGAGGCGGTCGTATGGAGGGTAGTTATCTGGCCAAGGGTGTACACTTCCATTGGGGATCCCCCAATTCCAAAGGATCCGAGCATACAATTGACAATCGTCGATACGACGCCGAAATGCATATTGTCCATCGAAACGCCAAATACAAAGATATCGTAGAGGCAGTCGAGAAAGAAGATGGATTGGCTGTTATCGGTGTCTTGTTACAAATTGTTGAGGTACTGTTCTATACTTTACTTGTATCGAACTATCGTAGTTATCAAATCTAAATACAGGATCCCACGGATATACCCACGGGTCTAACTAAAGTTATCAATGCGGTCGTAAATATTCCAATCGATGAATCGAACACGACTATTCCGGCCGGATTTACTTTGGATGAGATGATTGGGGATATAAATCACAATGACTTTATGACCTACGATGGATCTCTGACCACGCCCAATTGCCACGAGGCTGTTATATGGACTGTTTTCACACAAATTCTGCCCGTATCTTATGAAATGGTATCGAAACTTTGGGAGTTACGAGATCATTGGGATAAGAAGATGATGAACAATTATCGGGCTATCCAAGAAACAAATTATCGACCAGTGTATCATAGAATGGGGAATGCTTGAGTGGGTATCCCTTGTTTCATGTAACTTCAAATATATTCGTTTAACACTAATCCAAAGTTTTAGTAAGAAATGTAAGATTGGGCAAGAGTTGGGTCAAGAGCAAAGCCCAAGGTTTTCACAGTTGCAGCTGCTTTGGCCTAAGTTGTTACAACAGCTGTTAAAATTTTTGTAGAATTACACCTCTATGGGTGAAAGAACTATCGAATTTCACTTGAAAAATTATCAGAACTTTAAAATGGAAATAGTTTTATTAATCCGAATAGAGGAAAAGAAATGATAAACATGATATCTACAAGTTTTTACAATGCATATATCTGAATTATAAGCAAACATTATAGTGTCAACAAGAGAGGTAGTCTGGGAAGTTATATTGGTTACCCAAGATCAGTTAGGGCAATGTCTGGTTGAACTATAAGATAAGGGCTAAATGAATTTACGTTTTATTAGACGGATTTTCAGACGTTGACAGGCAATAAAGCAATATTCCTGGAATTACTTTTGATTAGCTTTTATTTCGTTTTATTAGAAACTGAAATTTAATTATTTTAACTAATTTTCAAGACTAAAGTAATAAATATAAAAAAATATAAGTCTACTTACAATAAATTCAGGAATCCCAATATAATTTTGATAAGGTTCATGTGACTTTCGAACCCCTTCCCTAAAAATCGAACCTATTTCAAGCTTAAAGTCGTTAGCTTATTCCACGGGCTTTAAAAAATAGTCTAATGACTCACTTTGTTGGAAAACTACCTATAGCAATGAATCAAGTGATTTGATGGCGCTCCTCCTACTTCTTGCACCATTTAATTCTGATTCAGAGCAATCAGGGATTCTTCGATCTATCGACAATGTATGGAGAATAAAAAACAGAGAACAGGATTCATTAATAACGAGCTCAGTGTCTCAGCCAAAGTCAAAGTCAATTATCAAGCTGGTTTGGCAACCGCTGTAAGCTGTAAAGCCATTTGCAATTTGAATGTAAATTGCGCCCATAGGCTGGAGCTAGGCTGATTGCGCTTATCAGCCCCTCTTATGCACACCCATTTAGAAATTATTGCAGTCTTTCCCCGGGTTTTCGCTGGTATAAATGGTCCTGATCGCAACCGAGAAATCCACAGTCTGGCTGGAATCTCCAACGTGAACGTATCTGAAATTTGAAAGTAGTTGCAAGTGAAAAGTTCTACATACAAAAATGTTCTTCTTTAGTTTCTGGTGGCTGCTAGCTGTTTGTGGATGCACTTTTGCCTATATAGGTGAGTTGTTCTCAAGCCCTTAGCTTTGGTCATATGTTTAAAATAATTTTTCAGAAATACCGGAGGCCTATCTAGCTGCTATAAGGCAGGATCGGGCTGATGATCAGTCGGCGGGCGAGTACAACTACGATAATCAGGGTGATGATTGGACGGGAACTTGCCAAACTGGGGAAAGCCAGTCGCCCATAGATTTGATTTTTGACGATGTAAGTTTATACAGAAATCGGTATTTTTTAAAGGTGTCTAAAAGTATGCAGCTCAAAATATCGATGTATTTGTATTTTTATATTTTTTCCAAATCCCTTAGTTTTTAGAAAATATTATTGCATACTTTGGGCAAATTAATAATTGATTTCAAAACACCAGAATACCTATCTCTCCTATCTCCTAGGCCAAAATTGTGTCCATTCCCCGCCTGCGTTTCAACTACTACGATCAGCCATTGCAAACGCCCCTCGTTATTGTAAATAATGGACACACAGGTAAAAAGTTTTTGATTTATACTGATTTATTTTTGATTTATACTAATCATATATTAACCATATATTTTCTTTCTTAGCGAACATGGTTATTCCTTTAACCCAAAGAGGCCAGCGAGCCTCTATCAATGGCAGTCTTTTGCCCGGGACCTTTGAGGCCCAGAGTGTTCACTTCCATTGGGGATACTATCATACCAAGGGATCGGAACATGCCATAAACTTCGAGCGTTACGATGTGGAAATGCATATTGTACATAAGAACACCATATACGATACGATGGGCGAGGCAACTCAGCATCCCGATGGTCTCGCTGTTTTGGGCGTAATGTTCAGGGCTGTGAATCGTCAAAGCTCACAGCATTATGGACTTAACAAGATCTTCAACCAGCTGCCAAGAATCGTGCAGTATAATACCAATGCAACGATAATGGGAAGACTGACCGTTGGCCAGTTGTTGGGAAACATTGTGACAGGAGAGTTCTTCACTTACAATGGTTAGTTAAGAGAAAATCCACCTCAGATCTCTGATCTTTAATATCTAATCTTTCTTTTAAGGATCTCTGACCACACCGGATTGTGCCGAATCTGTCACCTGGACTGTTTTTCCCGATGTTCTTGACTATCCATACCGTCAGATCGCAAGACTCTGGAATCTAAAGGACTCGCGACAAAAACCTCTGGTCGACAACTATCGCAGCCTTCAGGATATCAATAATAGAGAAGTCTATTACCGAACTATTTAATAAATAAATACATATATCAAGTTTCTGGTCAAATTTCTGAAAATGGTAAAGTAAAACATTTAAATATTATGTATATACCTCCAGGAAACTCAGTATACAGCACCCTTAAGTTACTGAGATTAAAAGAAAGAATCAGCTTATCTGAAAACCTGTTTTTGCAATCGCATTTAATTAAGTTCCGGTGTTTGTTTTGGCAATAACTCATTTTTTGGCTGAAAGCTTGTTAACCCAGGTCAGAAAAATGTTATATAACATTTTAATTTCCTACTTCAAAAAAGCAGGAAACGAAGTAGGGAATGTAAAGTCGCCACTGTAGTTATATAGCAGTCAGTTTCCTATGGAGAGCGTTTTTTTTTGGCCGCCCCAAGAGTATGCAATGCGTTTTTTATTGCTCAGCAAAGTATGACAAGTATATTGGACCCATAGTAATATTATGGCAAATTTTAATGTGATCTTTCCATTTTAATCTTAAATTGCCTTTAAATATTTATACATTTAATTAATCAATCGGTAGAACAAATAAGGTTTTTATAATTGTACGTAAATATTCAGACGGGAGATCTAAAGCAAATATTGAGAATCAATTTAGCCGGGGTCTTTGGGGGGAGAGTCCCTCATTGCAATCGAAACATCCGGCGGAAAAGAGGGTGGAGATTGAAGAAGAACTCGCTTGGCTTGAGCTTTTGTCTGGATATGACAGATTTACTGCGCCATACATATACGTTTATTTCCCGCGAAGAGATATGGCAAACTATTGGCACCGGAATCGACGAAGAAGTGGAGGGAGCAGGGAGAAAAAAGGTGAGGCCGAGATAAAGGACAAGTCAGCATCGATGTTACTCATACGCAGTGTGCACCAGACACGCAAAACGCACATACGCACCGTAGACAATTTGCATTTGCCATTTTCACTGCACTTCCCCCTTTTCACTCGCTTTTGACTGTCGTTTTTCGCGACTCGCTGCGCATTGCATTTTTCACATTTTTCATTTCCGTTTCCGTTTGCTGCCTCAAAAAGAAAGAAGAATAACCCTGCCCGTCCCTCTTTTTCTGCGCTTTGTGCGTTTATCTTGGCCGATTGCCTCCCTTCCCCTTACCTGCTTATTTGCAGATTAATTTGGTCCCACACTCACCTGGGGAGCAATTTGTCGCACAATCCTTTGTCGCCCCCCGAAACTCCCCCTTTTCCCTGACGAAAATGTGCCATTTCCGTCCGTGTCAATATGTTCCAACAATTTCATGCAGACTTTTTTCGTGGACTGACAAGAGATCTGCCTTTTCACCTAATATTGGTTTTGGCATATTACCCGTATGCTTGAATAGGCTGTATTGCTCTGTTAAAGTCGTAAGTTCCCATATAATATTTAAAAACCTAAAATATAAAACAAAATTTGTAACATACATTAAAGTACAGTTGTTACTTAAAGTGCATATTTCCAATAAAATTGTTTACAAAACGTATATTTTCAGTCGTTGATAAACAGAAATGGCTTGTCAGCTGTCAGAAACCAATCAGTATTAATAGAAGTTCTTTAAAGATCTTGATGATGGATTCCACTAATTTGTTCCTTAAGTGAGCATGTGTTGATGAGAAAGAAAAACACTATTGTTGCTGTCTGACAAAAGGCTCTTAAAACACCACAGAGCAACAGTTAATTAATTGAAAACGTTTTAAACGTCTGAAGGTCAGATTCATTTACTACTAACCTCAAATTAAATATTTCCTGAAATTTGTCTTAGCCTAATCTTAAGAATTTGTAATTATTTAGGAGCGTGGAGGTCACAAAAATCCGTATTTCTATGGACACCACCGAAACGTGTTCCTCATTTGCCTACGCAGCTCATAATCCAAAGGGGGAGGAATCATGTTTTCTTTTTTCGAGGGGGTTTACAAACAAGGATACAACTTGCTACTGCTGCTGATGATGATGATGTTTCCGCTGGCTGACATTTAACGCGCATTTAACTAATTTCATTTTAAATTGTTGACAATTAAGGAAAATTGCCAAGACGAATCGAGAGCAGGACCTCCTGGTTTTTCCCGTTTTTCCTCTGGCTTCTGGCTTTCCTCCCCCCACCGAACACCACGTGCCATGTCGCAGTTAATTTGTTGGCAATAAGTTGGAGCACCAGGCCTAATTACAACAACACGCACGACATGACTGCGAAATTTTCATTAAAATCGGCCCGTACTCGCAAGGACAATGCCAGTTGCAATGGAGTCCTTGGACCAGGATCAGCCCTTTCGTCTGGCATTGGGCCGTGCTGCCTGGTGGATACCCCATCCAGGAAGAGGAAGAGGAGCACCACCCTTTAACACCACCACCACTCAGAATACCAACCACTTACCTGGAACTTCCGCGGAGGATACGCGAAAATTGTCATTTTCCGCCGCTTTAAAGGATTTGCTACAGAACCTGTCGTTCCATTGTTACAGCAAATTAGTGGAGCCGGGTCGCAGGATTCAGGAGCGGTAGGTTAGGAGTGGTGGTTAGCCACATCCGGCTGGGCGGTGGCCTTTTTCAATTAGCATTAGCCATTAGCCGAATCCGCTGCCCACACAGATAAAAATTGCATCTATATTTCAAATTGATAGTTGGTATTTGATATTAAAAAAAATTAATTCACACTTACCACCGCGTCTAAGTTAATTTTTTAAGGAATGATCCTTCGAGCTGGATAGATTATACATAAATGCATATTAACAAAGATAATTTCTTTCTGTGCACCCGCAGTTTCTTTTGGTTCGTTTTCCACATAACCGCTTTGAGCGTTCTAATTGCATTCCTCTGGGGCACCTACACCAACGAGCAGGAGGCCTTGGTGACCACCATGTACCATCCGATGTATCCCATTTGGAAGGTGGAGTTTCCGGCCATCTCCGTGTGCAGCTTGAACCGCATCTCGCAACGGGCGGCCTGGCAATATGCCCACAAACTGTAGTTCTGCTTTGGAAATGATTTTTCTAGAGATTCCTATAAACATTTGCTCTAAATTACAGCAGTGGCAAAGATCCAAAGCAACGCAATGCCAGCCATTTTTACGAGCAACTTAAGGCCTTCATGTACATGTACTATGATCCCTCGGATTTGGTGGATATAGATAATGCTCTGCGCTTTCAGAGCTTCTTGGACAAGTTTGATACGGGAGAGGAGGACCTATTTTTCAATACCAGGAAACGAATGCACATTCTCACACCGAACTGCAGTGATATGTTTGTGAGCTGCAGAATTGCTGGGCGACTCTTCGATTGCATGGATCAGTTTGAGACAACCCTGACCAGTCATGGTTACTGCTGCACCTTTAACTATGATGGGAGGTGAGTTTTAATATGAATGTATATAGAATCTATACGGAGCTTAAGTGGTAAGTGTTAATATATTCGAAATCCGGCTCGAACACTCAAAAAATTTTTTTTCCTAAATTTTAGAAAATCGCCATAAAATGAAATTTTTTCTTAATTTTAGGAAATTTTCTGAATTTTAGAAATTGTTTTCTTGAATCTAGGAAAAAAGACCATAAAAACAGAATTTTATGAAAACCCTTTCTAAAATTTAGAAAAATGAATTTTTTTTCTTAAATCAATGGTGTTTTTTCCTAGTTTGCTCTCCAAAAGTTTTCTTAAATTAATGGCGATTTCGCCATTTAATTAAGAAAAAATGTACTTCAGCCCTTCCTATAATCTAGAAAGTCGCCATACAAAATACGGTAAATTTTTCTAAATTTTAAGAATTTTTCTGAATTAAAAAAAAATGTTTTCTTGAAAACAAAAAAGTAGAATTAGAAAATCACCATAGATTTAAGAAAAACTTTTTGTATTTCTTTTATGCTTCTCACTCTTTCTTCGAAACGAAAAAGAAGAAGACAAGGGGTTAGTCCGCGGCGCGTTGCGACGACAGTTTTTGGCGTATGTATGTATATGTTTATGTGTGTTTGTGCGTATGATCGAGAATTTTCTTGTGCGTAGCTGTAACTTTTATTGCGTTGTTGTTTTGGAAATGCAGTCTCTCGCGAGGGAGTTGCTTGCGTTGCGCTGCATTTTGAACCCTTGTGCTCAGTTTTGGATGAGCATTCAAAGTAATAAGTTTGTGTTGAGCCCATTTAAGAAAGTTAAAGTGCGATCCCTCTAAGAGGCAATTAATAGGTAAGCAATATAAATAAATTTAAATATAAATTTGGTAAGTGTGTGAAAATTTATGGTAAGCAAAGGCCATACTATTGCAGGCCGCAAATACTATCCTTCTCTAATATTAATTTTTATTTTTGATTGCAGGAATAATTTCAATTTCAGGTATTGTTGATAATTTGGCAGTAAGTAAATTTTAATAATAGGTAATATATTAAATACCTACTTAATATTAATATTAATAATTTTTATCTTTTTTGTTTTCTTTTCTTTTTTCTTTTTTGTTTAGGAAATATTTATAATGTAATTTTTATCTTTTTTTGTTTTCCTTTCTTTTTTCTTTAGGAAATATTTATTATCTTATTTTTATCTTTTTTGTTTTGTTTTCCTTTTTTGTTTAGGAAATATTAATAATTTTCTTTTCATCCTTTTTATTTTCTTTTCTCTTTCTTGTCTAGGAAATAAAATAGTAAAATAAATATGTATACATTTTATTAAAATAAATAAAATTTTCTGAAAATAAAAAAAGTCCTTTCTTATTTTAAGAAAAAAAATTATATTTTCAAGAAAAGTACTTTCTGGATTTAAGGAAATTTTTCGCAATTTTATGGCACTTTTTCTTGATTTTAGAAAAGTATTTCTGCTTTTCAGAAATTTTTTTCTAAATTTTGGAAAATTCCTTTCTAAAAAATACGGTAAATCGCCATCGACTGAAATTCATGGCGAATTTCTTGATTTAATGGCGATTTCGGGCTGTTTTTTTTTTGAGTGAAGGACTAATGCTGTTAGTATTAAAATAAAATATATCCGGCATGAAGGACCAGTGTAACTACATGATATCTTTTTAGATACGTTAATAAGAGGGACTTCAGGCAGCGCTACTTTGGTCCCGACATGGGATTGGTTTTGACTCTGAAA